ATCTTGACTTTGAATTCTGGCTCTACCACTTGCTTCCTGTGTGACCTTGGAGACCTCCTTATCCTCTCCGTGCCTTGGTTTTTCATCTGCAAAATGGACTTACCAGTAGAACTGTTGTGAGAAGTGTGCACTGGAAATATATTACGTTTTTATCATTTTTTTAAAGAGAATTCTCCATTGTAGAATATAAATTAGTGCATGTAATTAAAATTCTTATATTTCTAGAGGTAGAATCTTGACACAACATTATTTCGTATTTATAATATAGTTTAAACACTTTCTGTGTTTATATCATATGATAACCTGTTTACAGGAAATTAATCACTTAGGTTATATTGTTAAATATAATTGTTTGTCATTTTACCTTTTAATCCTAGAACCAGGATTGCAGAAAGTGCATCAGTAAACTAGGTGTGCATCAAACCAGAATTGGTTAATACAATAGAACTTGTGAAATTAATAGTAAATAGTTCAAGATGTTGTGTCATGCTTTGCTGTTTTCATAGACTTTCATACAGATACTCTCTTAGTCCCTCAGTGATCCTGTGTGGAAAGCAAGCAGGTAACAGGTGTTATATAACTGCTCTAAGCCTCAGTTTTCTCCTGTGAAATTGAGATCTGCTACTCGGTCAGGGTCACAGGACTAATGTGTGAGAAAGCCGGTGCTAGAACCCCCTTCTTTTGATTGCTAATCCCATTATCTTCTTATGGGTCATAACAAAACTCTTATCATGGTAAAAGCTGTCATCTGCAGTCACCAGGGAAGGTACCATTATGGAGAATAATTTTCTAAACATATAAGGGTATAGCTATCTACACCTTTTTATTTAATTTGCTTTTTTAAATTAAAATAATTGTGCAGTAACCTGTTTCTATATCTCTTTAACCCAGATGACATACTCCTGAGCTGCCAGCTTCTGTCCTTGCACTTACTGTGAACAAAGAGAATCTCCCATCCCTGAACCCAGTGCACTCACCAGCTGTGACTGTATCATAGCATCCTGTTCTCTCAGTGGGATTGAGGAGCAGGTGCCTGTTGGGTTACCCTTTACAGTCACTTAGACACTCATACAGAGTAGAGGCTCCTGTATCTTCAACAGTTCCTATGCTGAGTGAGGCATTAATAGCTTTTTGCTCTTTCTCTGCTAACTCCCCAGTCTTAGAACAAGTCTGGCTCAATCATGGGTTCTCTTCTCTTCTGGAGAACCTGGTGTTCTCTTCTTTTGCCGCTTCTGATTTCTGATTCTCGCTGTTATTTTTTTAATTGGTACATTTTTATTTTTTAAGCAATTCCGCCAATATTGAACATTTCGATTAATTCCAGTTTTTATATTCATATAGGTCATCTTTAAATAGAGAAATTTAGTGTTAAAGAAAGATTGAGAAATGCCAGAAGTTATATAACCAGAAGGAACAAATCATTCCCCAAAAGTTTAACCCAATCTGCCGTTTGCATCACTTCCTCAGTTCTCCTAAGTGTCAGTTCTGCTAGGCTGCCTACCTCCTGAGGGGACTGTAATTTGGCTACTCCATTTTGTGTCTTCATATGTCTTTCTTATCTCATTCATCTGCCTTTCCACTTCATCTTTAGCTTTTCACTTTTTGATTCTGTTTTTGCTCTCTCTCGCCACACTTTCCTCTATGATTTTTCTTCTCTTTCTCCGATCTATGTATTCTTTTAGCAAGCATCTGTTGAGCACATATTATACGCTGGGCTCCAAGGATGCGAAAGTGAATGAGAAAACCACAGCAGAAACTGAATGCAGTGTGCTGCAGGGAAACACAGGCAAGTGCAGGTGCTGTGGGAGCACACAGGGGGAAGGATGGGTTCTGCTGGGAAACGTAGCGCAGTTGTCACAGAGAAGGCAACGCCCCAACGTGTTCACTGTGCAAAATTGGAAGGGAATTCTCAGGCCAAGGAGCAGTATGAACCGATTGACATGTTTGGGAGGGAAGAAAAGTAGTGTAACCAGGGAATTGTGACCTAGAGCTTCAGGAGAGGCAGGTGTGACTGAAAAGACAGCCCCGGGCCAAGTCATAGGGGATCTGGTCTGCCAGCACTGAGGAGTTAAGACCTCATCCTGGAGGTGACGAAGAGCCACTGCAGGGTTTCAGCAGCATGATATCCGACCTGACCTGTGTGAGCATGCAGACTCTGGCCGCCAGATCATGTTAGGATTGAAGGGAGGAAAGATTGGAAGAAGGGCACTCATTCAGGAAGCTTTCACAGTAATCTGGAGAGAGATGATGAGAACCAAACTAGAGTGGAGTATAGAAAAAAGAGAGAAAGGTTCATGTTTCAGAGGAAGAATCCGTAGGGCTTGGTGAGAGGGGAGAGGAGATTGTCCGGATTGGCCCTGCGTTTCTAGCACAGTCACTGTCTCATTGCTGATGCCATGAACTAAAGTCAGGACTCTAGGAGAGGCACAGATTTTGTAGGGAAGACACGGGGTTCAGTTTTGCAGATGATAAGGTGTCTATGGGATATCTAGGTAGAGTTGACCAGGAGGCACTTGGAAATATGGCTCAGGAGTCAGAACTGAAGATATGGTGATTTTAGGATTTAGATGATGGTTTTAAGACCATCCAAGGAGATTAAGTATAGGAAACAAAAGGTGACCGAGGACATGTCAGAGAAAACAGCACTAAAGGGTGGCTGACGCTTGGTAGCTCACATTTTGTTAGTATGTAGTGAATAGAGCGCCAAACCAGCAAACACTTAGGGGTCAGGTAGCAAAGGAAAAGCCATCAAAGAGACTTAGGTCAGAATAGCCAGCCATCCAAGAGAGAAATGTGCCAGTGACAGGAAGGCAGAGTTTGGGGCAACAGGGAGGGACAGCGAAGCAGCAGGTTGGATGCTGTCTAGAGATTATGGTGAGGTGGGCTTTGGGGTTTAAGATTCAGAGTTCACTAAGGCCAGTGAAAGATTGTGTATCTCTTCTGCTTTCTGAATTATAATTGTGTATCTTTCTGCTTTTTACATGAAATAATTGATATTTATAGATGTTAGCTAATCAAAATGTTTTTTTCTTTCTAATTGGAAAACTGAACTGAGTATAATTTTTGATCTTTCGTTAGTTTTGGCTGTTCTTATTTGCAGCTTAAAGTTCTCCTCTTCAAAGAGCAGATCTTTTTCTGGTTCTAGCCAGCCTAGAGCATATTAGAAAGTTCCTAACCAAAAGTTTTACTCTACATGGATTTGGTTATACTAAGGCCTTTAAATCTGAAATCTGTTAATTTATACGATAGAGTTCACATCTTGTGTCCATTTAACCCACATGACTTCAACTGTAAATGTTCTGAAAAGAGAGAATATGGTACACACAGTGCATTTGATGATTCTGCCTGCCCATGCACTAGGCTGGCACAGGAGGAAGTCTGCTTTTCTCTCAGTCTGGTTCAATCCTAGATATCTCTCTTTGTATCACCAACTCTTCCAAAGAGATTATGAATCTGATCTTTAAAGAAGTGTATGTACATGTGTGTATGTGTAGACATATACATTTGGCCCTTCATATCCATGGTTTCCCACTCATGGATTCAGCCAACCGCAAATCAAAAATATTTTGGGGAAAAATTCCATGAAATTCTAAAAAGCAAAACTTGAATTTGCCACGTGCCAAGTACTGCATTGAATCCTCACAAAGAAGTGATATGTAGGCATTGTATTAGGTATTGTAAGTAATCTAGAGATGATTTAAAGTATATAGGAAGATGTGCATTGGTTATATGCAAATAGTGTACCACTATACACGTATAAGGGACTTGAGCATCTGTGCATTTTGATATCCTTAGAGGTCCTGGAACCAATCCCCCTTGAATACCAAGGGGGTGACTATGTAAAATATAAACCCTAAACGTAAGCAAGCAAGTCACTTGACATTATGCTCAGTGAACTAGGGATCCGTTTTAGTACTGGAGGAAGTAAGCCATTTTAGACCCATTGTTTACACTGAAAGTTAAGTCTGCTTCTAAGTCTTCCTAAGGCTTTTCAAGGGTATTTTTTACTATAAACTCTTTCCCCCTTACATGCAGACATGTTGGAGGAAACATCTGTACTACCTTTGGTAAAAAGACCCCAAGTCCAGCTCACAGCAGAGGACAGTTTGAAACCTTTTGCTATCCTGAGTTCTGGAGGAGAGTTGGGTCTCCTTCAGCGTAAGAGTGGGGAAGGTGTGTGTGCAGTAAGGGGTGCTGGGAGGTCATTGGGGCAATGGGCTGTTGGGAAGTGTCACACACTGGAAAGATTTGGGATCAAACATCTACTACCGAAGCTTATCACCACAAGTCTCCAGTCGTAGTGGAAAGTATTTAATCTCCTTCAGCCTCACTTCCTTGTCTGAGCTGAGATGACTGTGGATGAATTTGCCTCAGAGAAACAGAGGAAATAAGAGCAAATGAAAAAATCCAAGGAAAGCAAGGTTTTTCAGATCTGGTTGAGGTTTACTCTGTGTAACTATTGTGATTATCATCATGTTGGTAAGCCTTTACATAGGGAAATGGCATTAGACACTTTTGCAGAATCTCTGAGTCTGAACTAAGAAGCAAGCAATTGCACCAGTATCCATATAGTTCACCCAGTATAGTTCTTGGACTGAAGCAATGCCTGTTACGTGACTTGGCTCCCTTTTGATTCTGTATACCCATCTGATACATTTTTTTTCCCTCCTTTATCTCTTCATCAGTCCAGGTCCTGCATCACCTGTAAGACCAGGACTGGACTCTCACAAAGTGTTCTTCTGACTGATCTGGCTTTTAGTAATCATTCCCTTCCATATTCCTGTGGTGTTGTCAGTTTACACCACAAAGAGCAGCAATTTTCTCAACAATATTTGCTGATCATTTGTTCACTTGTTCAGCTCTATACACAGAATTACAGATTGCTTTGTTTTATTCTCGTTTTGTTTTATATGTGTATTACCTATGGCCCCATCTAGCATGTACGTTCCTTGATAATACTGTTCTTTTTGTTTTGTGTCATTTTCTTTTTCTGTAGAGCTTTCATTGTTGAGGTTCCTAAGTGCTGAACTAACAAGAGGGTACTTCCTCGAACATAACGAGGCCAAGTATACAGAAAGAAGAGAAAGAGTATACACTTGTATGCGAATACCACGAGAATTGGAGAAGGTACCATTTTTTTTCATTACCAGACATCATTTTGAAATGTCAAAGTGTTAATTATGTTACAAAAATTGTTAATAGCTTGAGTTTTTAAAATATTGGAAATAATGTGATAAGTAATTAAATATATTGGGGAGTAGGAATTCCCTTATAGAAAGAAGCTTTAAAAGTGACATTTTTAGTTAAGAACCAACAATAGTATGTTAATAGAATTTATCATAATCCTAAATATTTTACGTATTAAACTTATATTTCTGTGTGCCACATCCAAATAACTTTTTCCAAGGAATTAATCTCCACTTCTGTACTCTTTAATTCTCTTCAGTTTTGTTTTACTAGAAGCAGTTTTTTCCCACTCAGCATGATAAATTATCTAATTTCAGCCTTTTTTAAGGTTTCAGCTTCTCAGCCCTCATATTTAAAAGCATAAATGACAGTCTCTTCACAGAAAAAGATGATTTGTTTAGCCTTCATTACAGGAAGCATCCCATGCTAGGGTAAGCACAGAAACAGCAGCACTTAATCTTTATCTTATTCCCTTGACTGTGCCTTAGCCTACTATCAAGACCTATCAGATGTGACAGGAAAGCTGCTCTTTTTCTTCTAAGTACTGCTAGAGTTGGTGAGTCTGAGTGTCTCCAAAATTTCTTGTAAATAAAGCTTGTAATAGTCTGATCATTTCCTTAGAATCATACTTTCCATTGGGGGCTATCAGAAGAGTTTGGTTGGTTTGCCTTACCATTGCATTGTAATGACAAGAGGTGCAGTAGGAAGAACCCAGCTGGTTTGGCTGATGTTCTTTTATTTTTCTGTTTGGTAGAAGGAAGAGAGCCAAATGTAGAGGGACATTTTCAGAAACATTGCTTTACGTAGGTTCTTGGTAGAATGTCACTTGCTGAAGTTGTAGGGAGTTCTGTGTTAGGGTGACCTGTAGAGAGCTAGGGAGCAAGCAACAGTTGGAGAGAAAACAAAATAGGACAGTGGTTTGATTGCCGTTGATGAGGATCATTAAACATGCATCATTATGGCTGTATTACTGCTGTTCTAGGGAGGACCAGGGTTCTGTGGAGGAGCCCAAGGGACCGATAGATGAGGACAGAGATGGAGAGGTATGTGAGGCTCTCTCTGCAGTGCTCCTCCCCCAGCGCAGCAGCAGCTCTATTTATATATTGGGGTTTATATAAGGTTTTGTCTGGGGCATGGCTGAGGGAGAGGCATGTTTCTTCTGCTCAGAAAAAAATAAAAGATTAAATTAATTCTTGTGTCTTAAAACACTGTTAGGTTGCTGTTCAAAGCTTGCTGTTTTCTTCCGGTGAAAAGCCATGAGATGGAGCCTGAGTACACAGTGCAGAGGCAGTGGCAGGGACGGTCTACGGGGACCTGTATTTGTACAGGAGAGTGCCAGCCACCCTCAGCTCTTACGCACCTGGCCTTGGCCCTCTACAGGGATTTTTTTGCTCCAACCTGTCTGAGCAGTTCTGGACTCCCATTTTTTTTTTGCAGGATTTACCTGCAACCTACAGTCAGACTTTATGAACACAACCAAAGGGCTGCTGCAAAGTGAGGCCATGTCTGGCTGACCCCTTTTCTTTCCCCTCCTGTGGCAAAACTACTGAGTGCAGCAGCATCCACTCATAATTCTGTCACCTCACCAGATGCAGGTCAGCACACACCTCCTTCTCCATTCTTCAGTAGTAACATTGAAATTACAGGCAACGTTTCTAGGTAGGTTTCTCACTGAATACTGTAATCATTTCTTGTTTGTTATTGTGAAAATGTACACAGGTCTTGGTGAGACTCAAGTATAAACCAGTGTTTTTAAACTATGTTCTACTATAAGATCACTGATGGGTCAAGTAATCCATATGGTTAGTTGCCGTTGGGGTTTTTATTTTTATTTTTTGGAGAAAAGAATAGACAAAGTACCAGAGACAATTGCCTGTATTAAGGGGTAAGTATTGTTTCATGAAACTTTGGTTTCATTTATATGAATGTAAAATATGTGTTAGAAAAATTGAGTTAACTCTGCTCATACATAATAATTTTTTCATAGTTTTTGTTTCCCATTATAGAAGCTTTAAGCCTATTTAGGAAGATTTAGTCTCTTAGAACAATACTTCAGAAACTTTATAGCTTGAATATACACAAGGATGTCATGCTTTTCAGTTTAGAGAAATTTCTTCTTAACTTCTAAGATCAAGAGAAACGTAGAAGAAAGCAGAGTTAGGTTTCAGTTTAATTCCAGGATTGAATATCTCTCATTATGGCATGAATTTACTCTGATATCTCTAAGGTCTTTATTTTATAAAAGTAGGGTTTCACTTAAAGCTTGTATTTTAAGAGTTGAGAATCTATCTAGACAAATTAATCTAAATTACTTTTTATTGGTTTTCTTTTTGTTTGTCTATTCTAATGTATAATTTCTTGCTCATTTTTTTCTCGTTTTTTGGTAAATGCTATCATATTTTCACCTAACCTTTCTGGGAGAGAAACTTGAAAATTAAAGAGCACTTTGCTTCTACAAGGGATGCAAATACTATAAAACATGTAATTAATATTTACACTTTAAGGTCAAAAGAAAGGTCAACTCAATATCTCTTACTGAACATGTTTACTAATGTAAAAAATATCCCAAAATTCTTGTTGCTGAATAAACACCTTATACTTGACATTTAGCATAGGTGAATTGCTTATAGATTTAAAATAGTATTTCCAATTATTAGCACTTTTTTTCCACACTTGAGCTTCTTGCTGTTATGTAAGGCTATGAAATTTTGGAGTGTTTTATTGGCTTTTGGGGGGAGCATTTCTTCTCTTCTACCACAAATCCCTCTTCCCCCTTCCCTCACACACCCCTTGGGTTCTTGTCGTAGATCTGCTACTGACTACTTATGTGGTCCACTTTGGGAATTTTATTTTTCTCTTCCATACAGCTGAGGAGACTGAACTATGCTTTCTCCGCATTCTAAATTGGGAGGCAGGATAGTGAAGTGTTTAAGGGGATGAACTCTGAAACCAGGCTGCCTGGCTTTGAATCTTGGCTCCACAGTTTATTAGCTGTGAGTGCTCGAGCAATTCACTTAACCTTCCTGTGCCTCAGTTTTCTCATCTGTGTATTAATTATATGGTAAGCCTATAGAAGGGTTTTAAAATCTTTGACAACCCTCACTTCAGCAAATTGGGGGAATGCCCTGACTTGGTAGAAGAAGAGGAATTTTGGAAGGTTTCTTGTCACCAGGTTGCATTCCAGTGGATGTGTCCTTGCAGTAGAAGTGACTTTCATCTTAGGGCTGTGCTTAGCTGGAGGTGATTGGGAGAGGCCTGGTTTTCATGGTTCCCCTGTGTCCCAGTTTTATCTCACTTTATACTTTTAATCTTCCTGCTTTGCTTGCCACTAAACTTGGCTCTGCTAACCCTGCAAGGGATGTGCTTCTCTGATGCTCAGCCCTCTTGGATTGCTGACCACAGGTAGAAAGAGCCTCTAGGGAAAGCTGATTTCTTCCCTCTTTCCTTTTAGCTATGCTCTTTTGGAGTAAAGCTAATCTCTTTCGTGAAGGACTGAACAGATGGCTATAAGAGGTAAAACACCCTACCATTTTCTGCCAAGTCCTCTAGAATCTGGCTTCAGCAGGCTCACGACTAGAGTCTGCAGTTAGGACAGATGATGGGATGATTTAACTAGCTGCTTGGTGAAATCAGAGCCAGGGATCACCTGTTTCCTACAGTGGAAATTCCTGGTGAGTGATTTCTCAGTGCCTATACCCACCATGACTTGGTCAGTTACATCCCATGTCTAGCATCCATTTCCCTGTAAATAATAAAACAAATAGTATTTATCAATAAGGATTAGGTGCTAGGCACTGTCCTAAGCGCTTTAAATGTATTCATAGTAAGTCTCAATGATGTCATGAGATACACTAGTATGAAATACATATGTACTATTAAAGTTCCGTTTCCTTCACTGCCTGCTGTGGCTGTCTTTTGTTGACTTCCAGACAGATCCACCTTCATCCCATGCTTTGGTGGAGGCAAGTGCTAGTATACATTCTGCATTTTGACCCCATAGGAAAAATTTACCATGCATCACCTACAAAATTATCCTTGTCTGAGAAGTTATTTTGTTATCTGTGTGAATCTAAAACTTCATTAAAGAAATGCTATCATAGTATTTTCTAAAATTTCCTGATATATTTAAATGTTAATTTACAGAGATAATGATCACTTATTCACTTATTTATTAATTTGTTCTATCTATATTTTGAGTACTTTCTGTGTTCCAGGCACTTTTGCAGTGTGGAAGTACAAAGATAAACCAAAGACTTAGAACTTAGCCTGCCAGGAGATATCAAATACATAAGTAATTATAACAGAAGATCCAAAGTGATACACGCCATTAAATACTAGAAATAAAATGATACTAAGAATTTAGAGAAGTGAAAAGTTTGGTGAGAAGACAGGCCTGAGGAAGAGGACCAGGGGAGAATTTGTGTAGGTAATGGCAAGGCAATGAGAAAAAGAGGTAGATTTTGTACAGGCAGCATAGTATGTGTGTGCATATGTCCAGAGGTGGGCAATTATTCAGTATGGACAAGAAACCTCCAGTACACTGTGGAAAGATGGGCTGGTTCCAGGGTATGTTAAATGGTCAGGCTAAAGAGTTTAGAATCTAGGCTCTGGGAGGAGACTATTAAAGCTATATTTCTTAGGAATGCTTTTAGCTGTATGTAACAGAAAACCTAGCAAAGTGACTTAAACAAATAGGAAGCTGTTTTTTTTTTTTTTAACAAGTCTAAAAGAAGGAAGTCTCAGTTGTTCCAGCAGATTGATAAAGCCATCATGGACCCAAGTCCTTTTTATCTTTCTGTTTTGCCATCCTTGGCAAATTGGTTTTTGGTCCTCTTGATTGTTGCCTTTTAATAGAAAGATGATAGCTGTGACCTTGGGCATTGCGTCTCCACTAAAATCAGAAAGAAGGGGGGATGGGCAGTGCCACCTTTTTGACTGTA